ATATATATATATATATATATATATATATATATATATATATATATATATATATATATATATATATATATATATATATATATATATATATATATATATATATATATATATATATATATATATATATATATATATATATATATATATATATATATATATATATATATATTTGTATTATTTTCTAAATATGTATTATATATACAAAAATAATAATATTTAATATTTATAAAAAAAAAAAGGTATATTTTATATAAAATATTTTAAGAAGATAAAACAAAATAAAAATGAAAATAAAATGTGTTTACATTATTTTTTAGTATTTTAAGTAAAAAAGTGTTTATTTATTTATTTATGTACAAATATCAATATAAACAAATAAATGCCTAAAAAATTCAAAAATGGTTTAAAAAATTATTTTTATATTTTTAATATCATGAGGACAAATAAATAAGTCAGGAATAAAAAACAAAAGTCAAAAAATCATAAAAATAAACCAAATGGGCCTAGGGGGTGTCAAAGTAAAAATAGTGTGTGAAAAGAAATACAAAAACAGGCCCAGCCCACCAAGTCCTTCTTCAACCTCCAGCCAGAAATTGTTCAAAAAACGCGCGCCTGTACACTGATTCAAACATCTGGATTCCTTGACTTTTTGCACAAACTTACAACACCAAAAATGTTAAGCATTGAATCACGATTCTGAATATGTAAAGAACTCCTCCTAACTCTCAAATGAGAGAGAATTTTATCATTCCCAAATCTTAACCTAACTTTTTATCAATATTCAGACCTTAAATTCTCACAGCATATGCAAAATAAATGAAAAGTAAAGGTATGTACAGTTTCAGGGGCATGAGTAGAACACTTCTTATTCACAAACTTAGAGCTAATGATGCCTACATTGGGAGATAGAAGTTCAAGAATATACCTGTTCAGTTGAAGTTGTATCTGATGATGGAGGTACTTTCAGAGCAAGGTGATGATTGGTATAGCTTCCTTGATGTCCAGGGATGCTATTCCAGGCTTTACTTTGTCTTGAAACCTTTTGAATCGTGCTATAGAACTTCAACTGCAAAACAAGAAAATGAAAATGGTGATGTTGCCTGGGAGTGTTACAGGTCATGTTTGAGGTTTTGATTAGCTTCAAGGGATGTTGTGGGATGTATTTGAGGTGGTTTTAGCAAGAGTGCATGGAAGGTTTGAACTGGGGAACTCAAACTGCAGCAGATGCTCTGTTTGGGCAGTTTGAGGGTGATTCTGGGAATGGGGAGGTATTGGAGATGTTAGGGTCTTGTTTCAGCTTAGGATGGATCTTTAGAATATGCTTGACAAGTTTGCTTAAGGCCTGGTTAGCTGATATGAGAGTTGGTATGTGATATGCTATATTTCTTACCCTTTAAGCAACCAAAGGCCAAGTTGGTGTTTAGACAGGTAGAGGCCCCCCTAATGTGCTGCAAACCTTGGCATTGATCAGTGTGATTAGTTCCTAAACTTGTGCCAAAGAGATTTGATCTGTACTTGCTGATTTGCAACTTTGACATAAAGTTTAACTTTTCAAAAATGGATATTATGCTTTATCTAAAAATGGCTTAATCTTGCAAATAATGTTTGGACACACAAAATAAGGCTTTGGCACAATGAGTATGTATTAAATTATTGAGTACAAATGGGATTAGAGGCCTGTAATGTAGCATAAACCAAGCTGACTTGAAAATGGCAATGTGTATGAACATGTCTTGGTCAAGAACAAAAGTGACTTTTGCCCAACTTGCCAAATTCGATTCTCCCTAACCATGAGATTGTTTGATGAGTTCTTGGACATTTTGGAAAGCTTGGAATGTGTACTACAATCCATATTTGAAATGAAAATTGAAATTCCAAGTGGAAGTATGTGAAAAATGGTCTTGAAGTTAGGTAAAAACCTTGCCTAAAATAGGTCAAATTTTCACTAAGTTAAGAATGGTTTGGTACCCTTGTTCCAAAAATTGTAACTTGAGCTACAAGCTTCTTTTGGGAAAACTTTGTGAATAAAAGTTGTATATTATGAAACAGGCTACAACTTTCATGTTTTGACTTTTGTTTGAATCCAAATGAATCTTGGTGAGAAAGTGGGGCAAAGTTAGGAAAAAATTAGGTTTTTTCATAACTTAGAAAAATTCTAAGTTATGAAAAATCTTCATTTCAAACCCTAATTTGCATTTCTTGATTTCTTGATGAACAAGTTTCATGATTTGGCATGTTTTGATGAAAAATGAATCTTGACACTTGACTTTGACCAAAAAGTCAAAGTTTGACTTTTCAGTATACAGTCAAAATTGATCAATTGACTGGGAAATTCAACTGTCAATCTTGTGCATTTGGGATCTTTTGAACTTGTTGAGCATGTCAAGACAAATCCATGGGGTCCTTGAGTCCATATGTGAGCTTGGTTTGCCATTGGCTAGGTCAAACAGTCAAAAATTGCCCTTGTGCAGTCAAAACCCTAAAAATGACCATTTTGCCCTTTTGGTGATCTGATCAAATTTCTTGTGGAATTGTGATCCAAACTTGATCAAATGGTCCATGTGAGTTCATAATGTTGATGTGGGTCAATTTTCATGAGATTTGACTGTCAATTGGCCACAGTTGACTTTTTCCCCAATACAGTTGATTTCTAGGTCAACTGTCCAATTGACTGGGCAGAACTTGGAATCAAGACTTGAAACTTGATGTGGATAAACTTGGGAGTCCAATATGAAGCATGAAAGTCATCTTAGGCATTTTAGGTCAGAACATCTTTGTGCAAATACAAACCCTAATTTGGGTCAACAGTGCAAGGAGAAGTCTTGAGTAGATGAAACCCTAACTGGATCTTGATCTCCAAGGGCTTTGTGATGAGAAATCAATGAGAAATGGGAGGGCAAATTTTGGGGTACAACAGTTGCCCCTGTTCAATCTTCTTGAATCCGAAGAGTTAGATTGGCAAGTTTGCCTTTCTTGACTCGAGGGTAAAAGGAGATTGGACACTAGAGTGCCCGGAAATTTGCACTCGTCAAAGCAATGGATGCGGGAATGGGCTTAGAGATGCCATTTGGAGATGGGCTTAACGATGCCATCGGGAGGAGTGATAGAAACTTGTCGGGGATGGGCTTAAAGATGCCATCTGGAATGAGTATCAGGAAGGTGTCCATGCTTTAGACCATCTCTGAACTGGGGGTCTGAATAAGCAATAGATTGACATCCGTTGTTGGGAGGAATCCGTAAACTGTTTTCAAAAATTGCATCTGAACAAGTTGATAGATTAACATCCGTTGTTGGGAAGAATCCATAAACTGTTTTCAGAAGTCTTGAGAAGAAACTGAACAAGCGATAGGTTAACATCCGTTACTTGGAGAACCCGTAAACTGTTTTCAGAAGTCGAGAAGAGTTTGAACAAGCGATAGATTAACATCTGTTGTTGGGAAGAATCCGTAAACTGTTTTCAGAAATCTTGAAGTTGAATAAGCAATAGAGCAGCATCCGTTATTGGGAAGCGTCCGTAAACTGTTTTCAAAGGTTACATCTGAACAAGTGATAGATTGACATCCGTTGTTGGGAAGAATCCATAAAATATTTTCAGAAGTCTTGAGAAGAAACTGAACAAGCGATAGGTTAACATCCGTTACTTGGAGAACCCGTAAACTATTTTCAGAAGCCTTGAATTTGGAGGAAGAACCGGTGTAGGGTTCCCTGATGATGAGCTCGTGTAAAACTGCATTTGGATAAATCTGGAATAAGCATTAGAATGTTGCCATGTCTGGGTCACATCGGAACTATTCCTGGAAAGAATCTCGGAAGATAATGATTTTAGTCTGTCGACTGGTCTTACCTGAAAAGGTAAAGAGTTAGTTGTATGCAATGTCATGATGCATGATGCAACGTATGTTATATGATATGAATATAAATGAATGTGCATGTAAGCTGATGAGCTATCTTGCTGAGGATAGATGAATCCGAGATGGCTGAAGATAAGAGCATCTCGACGGCTGCCGGGACGAATAATTCCTTGGCTGTTGCTGGGGAAGAGAATTCCTGATGACTTCTACTGGGGAGTTCCAATCTAATAGACTCATGCTGGGGAGGTAAGACTGAGAATCTTCAGTTTGGTGGGAAGTAACTCTGTGGGGAGAAGGTTCACTAGTCTGGCTCCGCTGGGGATTGATAATTTGAAGTTTTAGCTCGGCTGGGGATACTGAAACTTAAACTCTGAGGGGAATTGAGTTCTGGAGGATTCTCTGGCTGGGGATAACAAAGATAAACTCCTCCGGGGATTGTATTGATAAGTTATGCTGGGGAAACTTTGACGAACTCCGCTGGGGATAGGAAGAATTTTGCCGAGTACGATCTTCCGTGGCAATTAGCTGAGGATAACCCAGTTATAAGCCCTTGTGAGGAATAACTTTGAATAAAGCTCGGGAGAGACGTCCGTACTCTGCAGGGGATAAGCTTCAAGGCTTGCTAGGGATATGGATTCCAAATCTCCTGGGGATTTCCTTTGAAAGGGT